GAAGCAGGCTTGTGAACACATCTCTTTTAATCCAATAGAAATAATAATAATAATAATAATAATAACAATAACATCAATAATTGCTTACACTTATATAGCGCTTTTCTGGACACTCCACTCAAAGTGCTTTACAGGTAATGGGGACTCCCCTCCACCACCACCAATGTGCAGCCCCACCTGGATGATGCGACAGTCCTCTCACACACACCAGCTCTCAGTGAGGAGGAGAGCAGAGTGATGAAGCCAGTTTAGAGATGGGGATTATTATGAGGCCGTGATTGGTAAGGGCCAATGGGAAATTTGGCCAGGATGCCGGGGTTACAAATCTTGCGATTTACTGACAAATACTAATTGCAAATTAACTCTGCATGCAGATCACATTGGAAACTTTATGCAGAGAAATATCTGCTGCACAACCTATACTTATTCGCTTGTACTGTACATCACATTGCATTAGTCATTACAGAGACTATTGAGCAGGAAGGGCCACTTCACATTGCAATTTGGGAATTTGAATGCGAGTTTGTGACAACAGGACAACAGTACTTTCACCAATTTCAGGATTTTGTTTATTTCGAAATTTGTACAATTCTACAAATGACGTGAATGAATTTATTTTGTTACCAGGATTTAATGACTGGCCTGAGAAATCTTCATTGGAGTTCTCCTTTAAACTATCACCTAACCAATCATATTCGCAGAACTGGTCAGGTGGCTGGGAGCAGCAGCTCTTTCAGTACAGCATGCTGGGTAATGTGGTTCAGACAAGGATCTCCTCCCTGCGTGTGTCTGCTGCCCTCTTACAAGGACACAAGTTGTGAAAATGTGCATTTCACTACTGTAGGCTGCAAAGGAACAAGTAAAGGTTTATTCCACGCTGTAAAGAGAAGAAAAGACACACAACGTTTCGGCTCAGGAGCCTTCTTCGGTTGTAGAATTTCAGTATGGAATAAACCTTTACTTGTTCCTTTGCACTACTGTATATCACAAAATGTGCAAGGATTTATTACAACTATTATTCCATCCATCTCAGGCCGCTGTCAGTTTCATTCAGCAGTAGCAGTATAGTGTGGGGGGTGAGGGTGGGGCGGCTGACTGCAGCTGTCATTTAAATCTGTCCCTCAGCTTGCTGCTTCATTTTGTTTAGATGCCTCACCTGCTGTTTTGCCCCTCTGTTTTGTTTTTCTTTGGGAAGTTGGTAACAACAAGCTTTGCAACACTGCTTTGCCGAAAATCTGCCAGACAGAAATCAGTGTTAATGGTAAGAAACAACGCAACAGAAATCAGTGTTAATAATCAGAAGTCATGCAACAGAAATCATTCTTAATAATCCTAATAATTAATGAAGTGATTCTAAAGGCTCAGAATGTTGAATATTCAGTTCACCCTCTGTCCTATGACTTTTCAGAACACTATGCTACCTGCACCAGGACAGTAAATGTTGCCCCCTGTGTCTCAGAGATAGCTGTACACTACAATAACCTCATCATCACTTAATATCAAGGAACCCGAAATACATTTGAGACGCGGCTTTCCCAAATTGTGTTTTAGTGGCATCTACGGTGCACTATCCCTGCCACATTCATTGCTTGTCTCTTTTTAACTAGAAACTGGTGTTTAAATTGAATTTCCAGACTGCCAGACATTTCAGAGGAAGTTGCCTTTACTGTTCTGTGAGCCAGTCCGATTCTTGCAACCCAAGCTAAAACTTGTTTACAGTGTTAATTAAATGTCCATGGTGGGTTGCCTAAATATGTGGGGATTTCGTTTTGATTGCAGGTACAGTGACTGTGGAGCTCTGGGTGAACTGAGTGAGGATTTTAGTACACTGTGCTGATCAATGTGTTCTTGTTCAGCTCATTAGTGAGGAAAAGACTAAACAGTTCCGGCAACAGAATTACTTGACACACAGTAATCTAGAGTGTTTTGTGCAATTTATTAAAGCATCTATTATGGTTTCCCGTTGAATTTTTTCACATTGCTGCTGTTGCATTTGCTCGATGTCAAGATGTGTTGCAGTTTTCAATGTATTTGCCTGATGCTTTTTTCGGAAATCGGTTTATATTTGCAAGCTTACTGTATATACAGCTGGGTTTGATACAGAAGCAATGCAAGAGCTACCTTAAAAGACACAGCAGCAGTGTTTCACCCAGGATTTGAGCCCACAACCTTCTAGTTATTAGTTCAAAGCCCTAAGCACTGTCTGCGACACTCAGCTGCAGTATATAATCGTTTTCCATTGACAGGTTACAAAATCAGACATCAGGGCTTTTATAAGAATTGCTTCTAGGCAAGAAAAAGTGTTTTTAACTAGAGTGCAGCTGAATTTCAATTAGAGTTTTATATTCACTGATTACACCCACTGTTCGATACCCTGATCTTTAATCATTTTCCTTGCCCCATCTGTTCAAATGAAATAGCCCTAGCAGTTAGTTATTGATTCCAGGTGCATGCTTACCAGTTTCACCGATTCTGGAGGCACCGAGACAGAAACACAACACGCCTGACTTCATCCCCTCCTGACCTCAAGCACTTTTATTGAGGCAGCTTGCTGTTGCTGCTCGGCTCAGCCTTTCTTCGGGGGTTGTGTTTCGCGTGCTTGCGGGGCCTGAGCAAAGCCGCAGAGGGAGATTGCCTTGTTTGCACACGGTCGAAGTCACTGTACAATCCTGTAACACCAGTGCGGGACGTTTACCACTGCAGTATCCACCCCATCAGGCCTGTTACCTCAAGTTAGGAAAGTATCACACAACCGTCATGCTATAGACAGGTGCATCATTACCTACCGCTGTAGAATCAGAGGTGATAACCCTTGATCTATCTATTGAGCATTTCGAATGCCTTGCATGGATTCATTGGTTGAAGCTGTGGAAAGCTAAGTAGTTACCTCTTTACTGTGTCAGGAACTGCGGCATGTCTGACTGTGTATACGGTGTATGGTATGGTGTGTGGTGTGTGGTCCCTGTTGCATTCTTACACAACAGTGAAGACACTGTGACTTGAGTAGGGATTGATGGAACATTGCCCTTTTCTCTATCCACATCAATTACTGATTTTTGTTCTGTGACTCCCCACAGGTATGTGCAGTACTTTGCACCCTTCAGAATATTTGCTACAGTTGCTAACTTCTGCTCTGCCCGCAAGGTGCTTAACGGTTTGAGGGTGACTGGGTGACACCTTTTTGTGCGTGCTGGTGTTTTGAAATACTTTCAGTCTGCACAAGGTGATCTGGTTTGAGGTGCCAGAAAGGATTGCTGTCTCTGATGGAGTCTGGCATCTGGAGGTCAGTGTCGCGACCTGTCCCTTCTTTCAGACAGCATTGTGAACAGGGTGATATCTGCACGCAGGGTGATGCCTGCTCCTCTCTTATCTTCTGGTGCCTGTGTCTGGAGAGTCCCAGCTACTGTCAGCTCCAGCTTCAGGTGAACACCACGACTCAGAGCCCCCTGCAGCCTAGAATCACTTATGCAAATGAGTATGTTCATACTGTATATATTCATATAGTGTATAATTATTTAGGTTCAAGCTCTGAAAGTCTCATAACAATCTGCCCTATATTTAACACTGAGCATATGCTGTGCCTTTCAAAGTGCCAACAAGATTCATGGTTTTTCTTCTTCAGCAAAGCTTAGCAACACAAATGTGACCAGATCTGTGTCTTAAGCTTTGTGCTGTGTGATTAAATACAAAAGGAGCCAGGTTACGATGCACCAGTGTTAATCATTTTTCAATTAGTACATGATTGATAATGCTGTGCCCTTGCCATTTGCTGTGATCAATAAGAATAAAAAATGTAACGGATGAACTGTCCTGGCAGCAAAGGGAATCACATTAACAAAATGCAGGGAACAGATTGTTATGTAATATGTAATATCTGAGACTGCAGTATTTGTTTCTGATGCATTTTCTTGTTTTTGGATTTCCCCTGTAACTGTGAAGAAAAGAAGAAAATGATAGACTTGTCTTGCCCACAAGAGTCAGGGACTGAAGTCCTGTGCTAAGAGCACTAGAACAGTGTGGCTCACATGCTGCTGTTTATTTCACTAATAAAGGCTGTCAATTTTCATTACGCAACCTGATCAGCCTGACTGAATGCACAGAGCTCTGAGAGTTTGGTTCTTCCTGCTGTGATTCACTTAGCGTGCCATCATTGTGTGGTTTTAATTTTCCAGACCTTTTCAGCTTCAACTTGCTGGATTCAGTACAATAAGAAACAAAGCCGTTCTGACAAATTATGGTAATGAGTTCATGAAAAGACTGTTTTTGCATCAAAATCATTTCCACCAAACATACGCTCTCACAGATTAATTAGTATGACACCTGTTCTTAACTGATGCAACAGGAAGTGGATTTCAGAAAGAGAAACAGTTATATAATCCATCCTGTCGTTATGCAACAGTTTGATTCTGTTTATACTGCTTGGTTTCTTTTATAAACATGGGGGGGTGTTTAAGAATGATACATCCTGCTAATGGAACAAATCTTCTTGACAATTTTTGTGTTGCAGGCATTTTTATTATCCAGAATCTCCTCTTTTATCATGACAGATAAACACACATCTCCTGGCAGGGCGTTGTAAACGCACTATAATGTATGCGTCTTTGGGGGAGGATTCTGACTCTCTTACCACCTTTCTCCCTCATTGATACAGAAAAGATGGGGCACAAACACTTCTTCTGTGCTGCATTCTGCCTCTTTGGATTCCTTCCAACAGCACTGAGGGAGAATAATGCCCTTCAGAAGTGAGCACTCTGTACACACCTGACTGACTAAACAGGTTGCTGGTGCCATCAGTAAACCCGCTCCCAGCTGACTCATTTCTTTAAATCTCCGTTATAAAACACAAGTAAGAAATCCAGATCGAGTCAAACCCTCTGGCCCAGCCCTTTAACCAGAAGCGATGGTTACCACCACGACTGAACAGGTGCAGTTCCGGAGCTGGTGTTTGGGGATGCAGCGTGCCGGTGCCTCATCGCTGTCCTCTTTTCTGTCCCCGGCAGCCCAAGCAGCGCACGTCCCTCGTGTCCTCCCTGGAGGTGCAGCGGCCCAACCACAACTACGACTACTCGGAGGTCAGCTCCTCGCTAGGATACGCCAGCTTCAGCACCAGCCCCCCCATCAGCCCTGCCAACTACTCCATTGGCTCCGTCGAGGACTGCGACCTGACAGGTAGGACCTCCGCGAGGCGAAATGACTGAGCAGACAGGATGTAAGCTGCTTGTGCTTTTGAACTGAATGAAATTGAAATCTTCCCAAGCAGCTGATTTTAAGCATTTGTGGACCAGGGCTACTTTCCAGTCCAGTCGCTTTGCATGACTTGAACGCAAGCAGCCCCTTGATTGCGATATTGATCCTGCTCCTTATTAATTAAATAATCATGGAGCTGGTGGCAGGGGATTGTTTTTTTGTTCTAGCTGAGTACTCAACTAAACGGATTGTATTGATTAGTATTTGAACTTTTATGTCACCAAATAATAGGATTAACTCGAACGGTTTAACTGCTCTCAGTTTCTGCTGTACGTTTCATTTAGGCAGCCTTTTATCTGTCGCGTTTCATAAGTCAACTTAAAACTTGCAAAGGTTCCAAACGGGCAACACGTTCGCCCAATTGAGGATTGGGTTAAGTTAGGAGCTCGGCTGGAACGAAAACCAGCTGGTGTGGGGGTCCCCAGGAACCGGTTTGGGAACCCCGATTCAACAGCCGCTGCTGGCTCACAGGCAGGTACAGCAGGCAGTGGAAGAGTTGAGCGGGGCTGATTGCATCGCAGTTCAGAAATTGTGTTTGTCTGAAAACAATCACCTCAGTCAGAAAGGCTCCTGAACTGGCCTTCTGTGAACACGGTTTGAAAGCATTTGCGCACGTTTACTTGTAAGTCCTTTTCTCCTCTGCACACCGTTATGCAGACATTAAATAGACTTGTTAAACAGACGGGCCCAGAGCTGCGGTCTCATCTGCTGCTAATTGGAGTGGTTTGCAAGCTGTGCTGAAGCCCTGGCTGAGTCACCACACACTGGTCATGGTCACGAGCCACCAAGGGCCATGGGGCTCCCATGTGCTGCTGTGTTGCACAATCATGGCACGACCCTCCCCGGTTGTCTTGACTGGCGTCTGCGCCGACTTCGATATAGCGTCCAAGGAAATAGGACAGCCCCCGTTCCCAGAGCAGAGTCCAGGGCCACCTGTTACTGCCATCACTCTTGGCAATAGGCTGCGCACGAGCTTTAGGGTTACAAATGAAGAAAGCATCCTTGTTTGTCTTTACATTTTGGCAGATATTTGAAAACAGTGTGAAAATCAAAGAAAAGAAGAAAATGACCTCTATTCCATCCCTCCTAGAAGACACTTAATAAAACACTGATGTTAAGTTACCATCCCTCTTACTGCACATTAGATTATTAGACCGCTGTAACAGTTGAGCAGTTTTCTCAGTAAGTACTTAATGCTCATTATCCAGACAGAAGTCTGTAAAATCTCAGCACAAAGACAGATACGTTGCTCTTGAAATAGGCAATTTGAGTTCAAAGGATTTTTTATGGAGGTTTGTTGTAAGGGCAAATAAAATACCAGCGAGTTTAAGAAGCTGGTTGACAGACACATGGCCTGAAACTTCGCAGGGTGCTGATGACACACTGATTGCAACACAGAGGAGGCTGGAATCAGTGGACCATTATTGTGAACACCTACAAGGTGCTCGCCTGTGTGCTTGTCACTAGTTTTCAGTGTTGTTTGCATTAATAACTGAAAGAGTGTTATTAAATCAAATTTGATTTATTCCAGAAAGGCAAATTCTCCAAATTCAGATACACATCTTATGCAGTATGTACAGTAAATGTCTGATAACTTTTCAGACACCAGTCTGTTCAGGAAAGTGCAATTCCCCAAGGTGTCTGGAAACAGATGTTATCTGGGGGAAAGAAGAAGAGTTTTAGTTTGTCACAGTAGGACAGATCATGCATAGTGCATTTTGCTGCGAGGGAATGTTGGTTTGCTTTCATGAGAGTTTGCGAAGTCTGAGTAAATTTAAACTATTCCTGATTTAGAACTTGAAGCAGAGCGGTAGGACTGTATTATACACTGACAACGTGAAATCCGTTTAATCTGTAAGATATTGTGGCAGCTCATCCTTTGCCGATAGAGTGATGGTGGTTAGTGTGCATAGATCCACCACCAATAGCTGGGCCTCTGCGCTGTTTCTACTCTGGAGTGCAGCTGTACAGGGATTCTCTGAGCAGGTCTAGCCCTGGTGTCACAGAGTCACTGCCCCTCACTGATCTGGTCCCCAGCCCACTGATCCAGATTCCCCCAGATTCCCCTCCTGTGCAAACCAGACAGGTCACCCGTTGCCTTACCTCTGGGCAATACCTTCACAGTATAAACATATTGGATTTAAGATGTCATCACCAGACCTTCTCCTGTGTTCTTTCTGTTTTGTATAGTAAATATATTTCTAGTCTTATAGTTTTTACAGTAAAACCTGACTGGAGCTACAAGTCCCACTGACACCTGCATGCTAATGCCTGCATGTTCCTCCTCCCTACGTCGCCCCCTAGTGGCTTAAACCAAGAACAGCTCGGGGAGACAGCTGTACTGCCACAGGTATCTATCTACAAGCACTGTCTAGTACTGATAGTCTGAAAGAGGAAAGTCTAGTTGCTTGTGGTTAAACCTTGAGAGGTGCAAAATGAGTCTGAAATAGATGCTGAACAAGACAAAACAAAGCCATATCACCCTAGTCTACTGCACACAGCAAGAGCTTGCTGACAGTGTTTGTCAATGGCAAAACTCTTTCAGAAAATGAAATATACTGTCCGGCTTGACAGCGCCATGTTATTCCCAGGGTCCTCTACTGCTTACGTTAACAGCGAGTGATGCTCATGTGGCTGATGGCCAGCAAGGTCAGCGGTGTGAAAGAGTCCTTTATGAAGGTTTTTGTGTGTTGTTCTCTGACAGCAAAGTCTAAAACGTTGGCAAAAATCTCTCCACGGAGTGGGAGCAGGCAGACATCGGCTGGCCCTGGGTGCCCACAGGAAGTCTTTGCAGTGTCTCTCTCGCTGTGTTTCCTCCTGTCTTGCGCCGAGGCTCAAGGCGAGATGTTTAGCAGGTGTTCTCTTGGTGCTGCTCCGCCGTTTGCTTCTGGAGGTTGCTCATTCCCTGCACAGAAGCAAGGGGCTCCTCGTGTTGTCAGTCTGCCGTTCATCCCTGCTGGCCCGGGCCCGGGCCTGGGGACCCGCTCGTAGGTCACTCAGAGGTCAGTGTGGAATTGCTGGACGTTCGGCCGGAATGCCTCGGGGTTCATCCTCAGAGGCGCAGCGACAGGCTGAGCTGACAGGGAAACTCGGGTTCAACTGCTGCTCGTGCCACATCACCGGTCGTCTGGTAGTCTGTAGCCTGGGTGTGTTACTCCGAAGACCTGTGCCCTTTACCGTATCGCTGCGCAAAGCCCTGGCTCCTGTTTGACACTTCTGGAAGAAAGACATATTTCCTGATCCACCTAAAATCTTTTTGGCTGTTTATACTATAAAGACCTTTGCAGACAAACCTGACCCTGAATGATTTTTTATTGCCAAAATATAATTGTATATAGAATCAAATTGGTCTAAACTGGATATAAATAATTCCCAAAAAACATAAGACCACGTCTATGAAGTGGCCATCCTATCCCATTAAATGTAGAAAATTGAAAAGGATAAATTAAACAATTAAAAACAAACTATGTAATCAATTTTCAAATTTAAATTCCGAGGTGTTAATCCTTCCATTTGAGGAATCTAGTGATTGATTTTTTTCTAAAAGCAATTATTATTATTTCTTGTCAAAATCCTGGTCCTCTCAGCTGCAGGTCTGTAGCCCAGCCCAGCTCTCAGTTACACAACTGAGCCTTTATTTCACATCTTAACAGAATGAATTTGACTGTTCCCACCTCTTAAACATGCTGGACACCACCGTTTAACCATTGTGTTAAAATCCAAAACGTATGTGCTAGGTGATTATTATTATTATTCCTTACACTAATATGGCTCTTTTCTGGACACTCCACTCAAAGCTCTTTACAGGTAATGGGGATCCCCTCCACCATCACCAGTGTGCAGTCCCACCTGGATGATGCACCAGTCCGCTCCCCACACACCAGCTCTCAGTGGGGAGGAGAGCAGAGTGATGAAGCCAGTTCAGAGATGGGGGTTATTAGGAGGCCATGAATTGGTAAAGGCCAGGGGGAAATTTGGCCAGGACGCCGGGGTTACACCCCTACTCTTTTCGAGAAACACCCTGGGATTTTTAATTACCACAGAGAGCCAGGACCTCAGTTTTACTTCTCATCCGAAGGACAGCGTCCTCTTCCAGCAGCAGCCTTAGCTTTCCCAGGAGGTCTCCCATCGAGGTACTGACCAGGCTCACACCTGCTGAGCTCCGGTGGGCTGCTAGTTGTGAGCTGCAGGGTGATATGGCTGCTGGGCTGTGCACTAATCAAAGGTTCCGTCATTGTCTGTCCACTAGTCTGTCTGGAGTATTTTATCTGCTGGCCCCTCTAATACCTCTTCCATTAATTAAGCAATTAACCTAATTATTTTCTTAATTAGACACATGCAGGTTTTTTCTTAAGGTCTGTTATAGTTGATTAGTGAAACAATACAGTACAGTAACCTATGAAAGACCTTCAAGCAAGATTGCAAGTATCAATAGTTATGCTTTTAATTAAATAATTAGCCCAGCTACTGTACAGTATGTAACTGAGAGCTGTGGCGGAACACAAACCAGCTTCACACTCCTGGGTTAGACGTTGAGTTTAGACAGTTCAGTTTCCTTAGATCCTTAGTTTCCTTAGTAGATGGTGGGCGACGAGTTCTAAAATTCCAAAACCAAATCAGTTTAGGTCTCTGTCGTGATTACATTTATCTAGATGTTATTTACCGTGCATCTGTCTTAGATCTTGTACTCTAGATTAGTTACTGCTTTTGGCCAGGAGAAGCCTTTAAACCAATCCCATTACCATCTTTAAATCGAAACCTAATGTTCTAGAAACAAGAGTGTTTCTCAAATCTGGATTATAGTTGAGGCTGGAATAGGAAAAGCTGTGTGACCCAGTGAGAGCTCAAAGGATACGTGTTAGAAAAGCTAAAAGCTGGATTATTTTCCATAATTATGTAATTATGTAAATGTGTAAGAATTT